CAAATACATATATATTTGATAATGCGTTAAATAATAAGGTCTAGTGAAAATTCTATTGATAGTAGTATACTGAGTAAGTACTTAGTACTTAACTACCCAATACTTCTTAGTAATTAAGAAGTACTGATGAGCCCTAAGAAGTACCGATGAGCATAAATGGTGTCACGTGTCTGCTAATATTTCTGTGATTTGTTGCCTATATTCATCCTGGGTGGGAATGCTAAGTTCCAGCTACAGCGTAGTGAAAATAAAGATGTAATTTTCCCCCATCCAAGTCAAAGACTCCTCTGGAGTCCACCCCTGGGCCCCCAGGTAGGAACCTCGCCTTACCTGTCCTGGATGATAAAGTACTTCAGGGGGTCTGTGGCGTTGCTGCTGGGCGTGGCGTAGCAGTTGGTCATGAGCAGTGCAAACCGGGACAGGTCGCCCCCATCCAGGATGATGCCCACGTAGAGAAAGGCGTCGGTGGTCAGCGTCACGGAGGAGCCTTGGTAGGGCTGCGTGTAGGAAGGACTCTGGAAGAGCGCCATCCGCACGGTGAACATGCCTGTCCCGCCCACGCTGATGTTCAGGACACTGCAGGGGGGAGGGGCTGGTGAGAGGACCAGACTGGGAACAGCCACAGATGGGCCACCCTTTCTGGTCTGCATTCCTGGCCAGTCCCTTGCAGCTATTTGCATTTTTATCCAGCAGTAGGACTGGAGCCCACCAACCGTTGCTTTGCAAACTGCGCACGCGCAGGTCACCTCTGGATCTCATCAAAATGCAGGTTCTGATTGGTAGGTTTGGAGTGGGGCTCGTGCTCCGCATTTCTAACAAGCTCCTGGGTGATGGTGATCCTGCTGCTCCCTGGGTCACATCCTGAATAATATATCTAAGCCCTCATTTGGTGGCCCTGGCCACCCCTGTTGCCTTCAAGATGGAACAAACAAATTCTGGAGGGAATCACCTAGATTCCTTCTTTGATCTCCATCTAGAACAGGTTAAAAGGGATGAGCTATTATGAGTCCTACAGACCTGAGTCCCAGCTCCATTGTGAGGTACTAACACCTACGTCAGAAGATGGGGTTTTACAGATGGGTTCTTTTTAACCACACTGAGAACAGCCACGCTGATGTAGTTCACTGGCCGATCCCACCCAGGACACTGTAAGACTGAGGCCACGTGAAATACGGTACATGCGGAATGCTCAGCGACGTGGACGTCCATCTTACAGTTGAGAATCAGGTTATCAGTTTGGACGGGGGCGAGATTCCCAACTCGAAACAGAGAGAGATTGGAGCACACACGTGTTGCTCCCTGGAGACTGCTTGTCCAGGTGACACTCCAGCCAGAGCCTGCAGTGACCAGCCTTCTCCCTCCAAGTCAGCCACGCACCCTCACACCCTCACCAGTGCCCGGCACTCTTCCCTGACTTGGCTGGCCCAGAGAACACGTAACTACGTGTGAGCCTCAAAGGGAAGGTCACAGTAGAGTGGATGTTCTGGGCCTGATGTTGGAACCCCGGATCTACCACTTACGAGACTTTATAACTTTGGGCAAGTTACTCAAACTTCTCTGAGCCTCAGTTTCCACATCAGTATAATGGAAATAAGAATAATAATACCTGCATCTCCTGGCGCTTCTGTAAGATTTCAATAAGCTGTTCCACACAGAGCATTTGACACCATGCCTGCCATCCCATAAGCTCTCCATAAATGCTAGTTCTTATCACTACTATTATCTTTTCCAGCATCAGCATTATATTGGCCTGTGATTCATCATATCCAAAGATTTTCAGTTTTATTTAGCAACAGGATCCTTTTTATAAAAATAATAAAACCTCATGTGACACCCAGTATGGGTGGAGCTTCTCTGGCTCACCCCTGCAGTTTCTCTGCCACGGAACCTCCCCCTGCTCCCACACCAAGACACTTCCAAAGACCATATGTGCAAAGCCCTCTTTAATCAAATTCCTTCAAGTGACAGAGAAGGAAGGAAAGTGAGGTCCAAAGATGGACTATGATTTGCCCATAGTCCCATAGCCAGGCTGGACTGAGACCCCTCCTTTCTTCTGCTCCAACCATCCTGCCCCTCTGAAAAGCTAGAAGCTCTAATATTATATTTGATTCACTTCTGCAGAGTGCTGTTGTATTCTAAGAAAGGCAGTAAAGTATTCATTGCTAAACCCATTTCACAGCTGGGAATATTGACACCCAGGGAGGACATATCAACTTCCCAAAGCCATCTGGTGTATGCCAGAGTCTGGATTTGAATGTGGACTCCAGGATTTCTAGCTGGGCTCTTCCTTTGCGCAACCCTGGCTAACAGCCCCCACTCCCCATTCCCTATGGGTGGCAGTTGACAGGGAGACTGGTGGCCTCGTGATTAAGGGGTTGTGGGGTAGAGCTGTCCCGGGGCCCTGGGGACCCTCTTGGGCCGCACCTGACCACGGGCTGCAGGGAGGTCATCAGGCTGACTTTCATGTCCAGAGGGTAGGAGCAGGCAAAGTTGATTTTGATGTTGCGGTCACGGATGATGATCTCATCTGCCAGGTAGAGGATGTTGCTGTAGGTGGCGTGGGTCTCATTCTTCTGTATGGGCAAGGTGGGGGATAGGAGAAAGGGGTGTGAGTGAGGCTCTGAGTAGGACTTCAAAGCCAAAGCCATTTGTCTCTGGCCACCTGCAAGCTGCCCTCCTAATCTCTGTGATAAAAAGTTACAGCAGCAACAAATATTCATGAATACATGGCACGTGCCAGGCCCTGAGCTGAAGGCTCCTCCTGCATCATTGCCTTGGTCCCTTCGATGACCCTAAGAGGCAGGGCTGCCACATCCTTGCTTCCAGGATGAGGAGGGAGAAGCAACCCTGCACTCACACAGCATTTACCCCCGGGCTCCATGTGAGGAGGCCTCTGGAACGGAGGCCCTGGTTCTCCGAACATCAGTGACACAGACCCTGTGTCCCAGGACCGCTGGAGACAAGCAGACCTGCTTCTGAACCCAATGCTCTTACCTTCTGCCTGGGACAGCCACTGCCGTCTGAGCCCTACTTTTCCCATCTGTAAAACGGGGAACCGCCACCACGGATCACCCTCCTTATCGGAAGCTAACGTTTATCGAGTGCTTACTATGTGTCGGTCATTGTCCTAATCAGTTTTACACATTAACACATCCAATCCTCTCAACATCTTTATAAAGCAGGTACTATTACTTCTCCACTTTACGGTTGGGGAAACTGAGGCATGGCCAGGCTAAATAACACACCCAAGCTCCTACCACTGGTAAGTGATGGAGCTGGGGCTTGAACCAGGCAGTGCTCTGAATCTGTCCCCCACTGGCCAGGACATACCGTCATCACTGTCCCACAGGGGCCAGCCTGGGCTGGGGTCACCACAGACACCCAGTCCCGGTTGCCTCTCTCGTTGAAGCCCGAGCACCGGCTGTCACGCAGGTACATGAAGACCTTCTCGAAGCCAAGACTCTTCAGCTGGCACTTGCTCAGGGACACCTTTATGTCATTGGCCCCACACTCCAGTCTGCGCTCCAGGAGGGAGATATCTGAAAAGGGCAGGGTTGGGGGTCTGTGTCTGCAGCTCAGGGGCCCAGCACATCCCCAGGGTGATGGGGACACAAAACTGGATTCCTGGCATCACTGTATGCACCCGGTGGTCAACCACCCAGTCCCATGTTCCCCTAAGGATGGGTTGCATACAAAATGCAGGAGGCTCGGGGTCTTTCCCTGTCCCATCATTAAATAACATTGAATCTCAGTTAAAAAAAAAATTAACTGCAATTTTTTTCCATCCTCTCTATATCAAGGAGACAGTCCCAGCTTGCTGCTAATGTCTTTAATGTCCTGTACTTGCTAATCTCCCTCTTAACCAGAGAGACCTCAGGCTGAGAGTTTGGGGCAGGCAACAACATCCAGCTAGAATTGTTTTTTTTTTTTTACCTTTTTAAAAATTAAAGTTATTTTTTATTTTTAGTATTTATTTTTAAAAAGCATCTTATCAAAGTATTACACAACTGCTGGAATTTAATAGCTTTCTTTTCATTGTATTTATTTTGACAGTGAACCTTCTAAAATAAGCGTTACCACGGACAGACGCAGTAGTGACCACAAGCTTCCCAATTTTATGTCAAAGAAGAAGGGATTCAGTCCATCGGAGGAAAAACAAGTTAATAATAAAGATCACAGCACAGGTAATACTTGGATAGGGCAAATTTGTAAAATGGATACTTGGACATGACTCAAATCATGACTGAAGTCTGGAAGATACTAGCCAGCTTCAGTAATTGTACAGGTGAGAAACCCGAGGCTCTGGGAGGGCTGATTTCTCGCTCAGGGTCCTGAGCTGGTCGGTGGGCTGGCTGCCAGGCCTGTGTTCTGGTGCTGCAAGAACATGGCTCAAGTAGATTTTGGCTACCAGGTGGCAGCGATCCTTGTGCCCACTGCAGTGTCAGGGTCTCAGAAACAAGGCTGGGGGTAAGGAGGCCCCCAAAGCTTTGGAGCCAACTAAGGACACTCAGAGAGCCCCAGAGAACTTCTGGTGGGTTTTCATGGGTATTAGCGAACCTTCCCTTTTCACTAAGACTGGATATGTATTCCCTGGGCCACACCCACAGGGCCCCCACCTTGCACACAGGAGTGCTTCCCTCCCCCAGGCGCTGACAGGTTGCTCAACTCGCCTCATCCCACTGGCCTCACCGGTGATATTGAAGTCCCCTTTGCACTGGCAGTGCCATCTGCCATTATCCGATCTGCAGTCCTCGTCTATACTGCACTCATCGCACGTCCCCTCCACGGAGCTGGGGTCTGCAGGGTCACAGATACAGACAGACAATCAACAAGGATGCAGCCCAGTCCTGGGTAGTGCCTGTCTGGGCCTGGGACGGGCTGCGGGGAGGCGCCCGCTCACCTGTGCAATACGCCAGATGACACTCGGGGGGCGCTGTCAGGTTGTAGACGTAGTAGCCGCCCTCACAGGCCTTCACCTGGACTGGGGCGTCCCACAGGCAGCAGTGGCCGCTCCAGTGCGCGCAGGCCGTGCGGCTCACGATGCCCTCCCCGCTGGACGGGTGCGTGCCGTTGAGCCACATGGGCGCGGCCGTGTTGCAGCGCAGGATGGGCACGCAGGTCTCAGCCATTCTCACGCCACCCTGGCCCACGAAGCGGTACCAGCCATTCAGGCCACTGTCGCAGGCATAGCCCTCCCCGTACTCGGTGCTGCGCCAGTACTCGTCCAGGGTGGTGTACGCCTGGCACGGATCGGTGCACACCAGCGCGTCGCCCTCGGGCAAGCAGTCCAGGCCCGGCCCGCAGGAGCCTGGGGAGCACTCACAGTGCCATCCGTCCCCCAAGTAGCCTGCGGGGCACACGCATGAGTAGCTGCCCTCCTCGTTGACACAGGTGGCCAGGGCGTGGCAGTGGCTAAGCCCTGACTCAGAGCACTCGTCCACGTCGGTGCAGCCGAGCCCTGGCGTCCGGTGGAAACCCTCCCGGCAGACGCACGTGTAGGAACCCAGAGTGTTCACGCAGCTTTCGTTGGCTGAGCAGTTGTGCGCCCCTGGAATGGCGCACTCGTCCAGGTCCTCGCACACAAGACCGTCACCGCTGAAGCCCTCCTTGCAGGAGCACGTGGTGATCACCCCGTCCTCCATGCAGGTGGCATTGCTGTGACATTCAGAGCACCTATCTGCAGACAGAAGAGCCCAGCCTCAGTGTGGGCAGCTAGACCAGTGGCCACCCAGAGACGCCTCCAAGGCCCCCCGAGGGAACCCACGTCCTTTAAGACGTATTTCCTAGCTGACTCCCTGCAAAACAAACAAGCAAACAGACCTCCCCAATGACGTCTGAGCTTCCACCATTCATTCTTCTGTGTTAAGCACCGCCTTCAAGCTGTATCTTTGAAAATATCTACATTCCCACATCCAGAAGAATTCTGCATTCACAGAGTTTCTGTTACTGTGGTAGGATTTATGGTGAACCTGTCTTCCCTGCCTTTGCACATTTTACACCTTCTGCCCAGATCCCCTTCCCTGCCTGCTAAATCTTCATCAGGGTCCTGTTCAATGTTTCCCCTCTCTGAAGACTTCCCAGCTGCACCTGGCAGGGCAGTGGCACTTTGTCCCTCCCTTACCAAAACATTAGTTTAAAAAATGAGTTTTTGTTTATTAAGCATTTTTTATATGCCAGGCAATAGGAGATGCACTTTTCATTCATTAGCTCGTGGGATCCTTCCCAATGGCCTCGTAAGATCAGTTTTTTATTTATCCTTATTTTAAAGATGAGAAAACAGAGGTTCAGAGTGATTAAGCCACTTGCTCCATTGGTGAGCAGTGGAGCCAGGATGAAAACCCAGATGACAGGACCACAGAGAGTGTGCTTTTAACCGTGACACTACAGTAGTATGTGATGTGCTCCCAGAGTACTCCAGGGTGGGCTGAGGGCGATGTTCAACCCTCTGTAGGTTGAAACGGAAGGTGTTTGGAGCCACCTGGGTGTGTTCAAATCTCCAGTGTGACTGAGTATGTTTCTGACCTTCCAGCAACGTGCCTGCATGCCTGAGCGTGTTCTAGCCTTGCCTCTCACCATGTGATCCGAGGACCACAGCACCAGCATCGCCCGGGAGCTTGTTAGAAATTCAGAGTCTCGGGCCCCACTTCAGACCTAGTGAACCAGAATCTGCATTTTAGCAAAATGTTCAAATGATTCCTATGCACATCTAAGAAACGGACTTAGAATAAAGACCATGAAAATCCCAAGTGTAATAGGAGAGGGACTGAGACCGCCTCCGCAAAGGGCAGCGTTGCTCCCAGCACGCATGCGCGTGCACGCACACACACACACACACACACACACACACACACACACACACACCCCGCTTACTTGTTTCGGAGCTGTCAGTGGCTACAGCTGTGATGAACCAAGAGGTCACCACCACCATCAGCATCAGAGAGAAAGACCGCCCCATTCTTTCTGCTCTTCACAGCTACTTCTGGTCCTGGGAACACTCGCCCTAAGGCAAGGAGAAGTTGGTCCCTTGAGTTTTCTTTTCTGTCTCTGATGCCTGAAGTCCTGTGAACAGAGATGGCTGGGATAAAGGCATAATCTAACTCCGCTTCCCACCGTTGGGAGTGCTTTGCTTGTATTCTGTACAGCTTCAGGAGGTGCCATTTATATATATAGGCTATAAAAGTTGTGCGATGCTGCAGCCCTGGCTTTAGTGGGGATTTCCCCTCTGTAGCCCCACACTTACCCGCACCCACAGCCCAGCCTTGGCTCCCCAAGTCTCAGCACCTTGCATGTTTTGAAGAACTGAGTCTCTCATTTGGAGCAGGAAGTAACACGATGGGGTAGTGTTCTGGACTCACCACCTTATTGAAAGCACCTTTGATTTTGAACAACCAACTCCTGATTCTCTGCCTGGAAACTTCCAACTTGCCCAGATCCATGTATTCATTCAACAAACATTTATTGAGTAGCTACTATGTGCCAAACAGGGAGCTAGGTGTCAAGGAGAACCATGAACGCAGCAAAGTCTGTGCAACTTCATGCAGCCCACGCGTTGCAAAGAAGTGGCTTGAGATAAGCACCCGAGAGATAATTCACCTTAATGATGCATTTTAATGTTTCTAAAGTAGTCACATGTTATTTCACCCAATGTTTACAGCAGCAAAATAGGGTAGCATGGTGGTTAAGTATGTGGGAGCTGGAGCCTGCAACTGGGATTCAAATCCCTGGCTTACCAATCACTAACACTGTGATTTGGGGCAAGGTATTTTAATTCACTGAGACTCAGTCTTCTCATCTGTGAAATGGGGATCATTGCTTACACAAATTGAGTATCTACAATGTGCTGGGCTCAGTTCAAAGATGTCCCTGTGCTCAAAGAACTTGTGTTCCAGAGCAATATTTTCCAACCCTTCGTGACCATGATGCACCATAAGAATTTTGTGTCATGATCCAGAGCAGTAGCTCCCGCAAGTGTGCGCACATGCATAAGCAAAATGAAAGTTTTATAAAGCAATTCTTATCCTTACTGTGTGCATTGCTTGCTGGTATATTCTATTTAATTAAAAGAAAATTCTGGATATAACCCACAAAGGAAATGATTTCATGATTTCAGTTGCGACTTATAGTTTGAAAACCACTACGGTGAATAGTAATCGACTGCGTATTGTCACTAGGATTAAGTAAGATGGTATCTATGTAAAGCAGGGCCCAACACATAGTAAGTGCTCCTGTTCATTGCTGTATCTCCAGTGCCTGCTACATGATAGGTGCATAACTAATATTCACTGATGGAATGGAAGAATAGTGGTCATTGTTATTAGGAAAACTTAGGCTCAAAGAGAGGAAGGCTGACTTGCCAAAGATCATGAAGCCAATATTTAGCGGAGTAATGACCCAAATCAGGTCTCACCCCAGTGTCCATACTCTTAATTTCCTCCCCCTCCCAAATAGAATGGGAACCAACAGAAAAAGGGGAAGAAGCTGAGCTAGGAGAAGGCAGCTACAGACAGCCTTACCTGAAGCCAGGAAGGTAGAATTATTCTGCTCACAAGTGTGTACCTCGTACACACGTGTATATATACACTATGCATTTGCCCCAGGCTGACAATCTCTCCTCCAATTATTCTCTGGTTCTGTTTCTTGAGATTGTTTTCCTGGGGGTGGTATATTTTTCCTTTTGGCATAATATTTGCCTTTTCCAAGCTGTGAGGTGGTTGTTGTTCTTTTTCCTAATAGTTAGAGATCCCAAATAATTGACATGAGGGGTCACACCTGTGCCCGGAAATACAAGGACTCTGTTTTGCACCTTTTGGCAGCAAGAGGTTCCTTAGTTAGAAATTAACTGGCAAAACAGTGCCAAGGTGCTGGGCTTTTTCTTGGTCACTGACGAGGACAGGGTGAACTCAAGGGGTCAGGCAGAAGCCAGTATCTGAAGCCAGGGGGCATGAGGACAAAAAGGATGTTCATTGCCCCTGCTGGGATGTGCACCTATCCCGGAGAGGCCACCTTCCGAAAAAACGCAACCCCAAGGGAACAACCCCCCCCCCTTAGGGTCCAGACATGAGCAAGAGAGCTCAGGAGCTGAGAATGGCTGAAGGTCAGAGCCAGAAGATAATTCAGACGTCATTGAACCTGACCTTCTCTGTGAAACGAGAAATCTGAAGTCTAATGAGTGGAGGTCCCTTGGGAGGTGGAATAACTTTGCGGTTAATAGACTGACTTTGGAGACAGTCAATCTGAATCCTGGATCTGCCGTTTATTGTTTGCCAGTGGGTTCGATTCTTAACCTTCCTGAGGTCAGTTTCCTCATCTACAAAACGAGAATACCCATCTTCCACAGTTGTTATAGTTTAAAGGAGACGATGCAATTAAAGACACGCAGTGATGATAATATCTGTGGAGGTCCTGCAAATGCTGCTTTGCTGTTGTACAGTCACCGAGGTAGAAAATGACAGAGCCTGAGCTAAAACCCATGTCTCCTGACCCAGCTGCACATTAGTTGGCAATCCAAAAATCAGTGTAAGAGTGGACGTTATCATGTTAAGAAAAATCAAATGTTTGTGAACTTGGGCTGAACAGGAAATATAACTGCAACCCTGCACTGACTTTTCCGGGACTTTTCCCATTCTGTCCCATTCAGTGGTAGGGAGCCCATCGGTGCTGGTGCAGTCATCTCCTCGGGATAGTGCCATCGGAGTGGAATTTCTGCGTCAAAGAACTCCCAAACAGCACCCCAGAGAGATTTTTAAAAATTAGTTTGCAATCCCACCAACACTACTCACCAGTCCTGAGCATTGGTAACTTCTTTCATCTTTGCCAAAAAGATAAGTGAGAAATATCTCATGTTGTTCACTTTTGCAATTCTCTGATGAAAAGAGAAATTATCATCTCTTCATTTATTTACATTTATTCTTTCTTTTTTTTTTTTTTCCTGAGCTAACTGTTTATATCCTCTGTCTTTTTCACGAGGCCTTGTCCAAACCCTAGTCTGGGTGTCTTTAAAGATTTAAAGAGGGTGACCCCAGGCAGCATCTGGAGTCGTCTGGGCAAAGACCTAGGCAGGAAAATGGGGAGTTTGGGTTGGAATCTATTAATAAGTGTAATAACCATGTTTTCTAGTTTCTGTATTTGATGCTTTCACACTTTAGGGTCTTGTGACCCTGCAGGGACTGCCCCTCCCAGGGCCAGCTAATTACTACAGATAGCAAACAACTCACCTGTGAATGTGCCTTTCATTTGCAAACAACCCTATCTAAAGCCCAATAACCCCCAGCCCCCTGGGCTCCTTTATGGGGTTCTCACAGTCAGGGCCACTACCCCCTGCTCTAATCACCCCAGGGGACCAGAGACCAGGCAACTAGAAAAAATTCCTATGCCCCGGAGCCCTGGGAAATTATTCAAACTCACCAACCCTAAACCCACTTACCCTGCTGCTCCCATTCCTTCCTGCAGAAACCACAAAAATGGCTCTTGCCAGCATTTTCCCCTTGTTCTCTTTACTTCCTGACCGACCAACCCCAGTGCTGCCCTGGGGGCTTCCTCTCCCGGGACATGACATGCCCCTGCCTCTCGGGATCTGCGGTATAACAAACTACCTTTTCAATGGCGTCTCCTGCTTTGTTGCTCACCAAGATCACCAAAGACGTCCACGTTGCCAAATTCAATCATTATTTTTCTCTTTATTTCCAGGGTAGTGCTCAATACGAAGCTGTTTTTGAACCTTACTCTCTCAGCTGTTCCTTCTTGAAACTCTCTTCTCCCTTAACTTGCAAACACGGGGAGAAGACTGGATCCTAACGATCTTGACAGCTACCGCTTACTGAGAGCTTCTCTTGTGCTCAGTGTTGCCTCCATTGTCTCAAACAATGAAACACAGCAACCTGTGGTACACAGAGGAAGACTGAAGTTCAGAGCGGCTGAGTAACTTCCCCAAGATTACATAGCTAGCTAGTGCTAGATACAGACTAAAACCCAAATCTCACTCACATTTATCCCTATGATATACTGCATTTCTTGTAAAGAATATTCCATGCCCGGCTGTGACAAGGCCTTAGAGGGACAAGCGGTTTTAAGTCTTTTTCAAGAGAGTGAAGCTAAGGGGTAGTGAGTTTTGACAAATTGATCAAACAGAACATTAAAGGTTAGAATGAGAGGTTGGTATGTGTTGGAAGGTGGCAGGAAATTAGCCAAAGGAGAAGTTGGGAGTTGATGCTCCCAAGAGAGGAGTATCAACTGTCCCCCCCAACGCCCGCCTATCTGAGCCCCCACGTCCTGAGGCTCTAGTTACACCTGGGGGACCTGCAGGTGGCACACCCATTCTCTGGCTCATGGCCTGCCAGGGGCTCTGTTCCACGTGATTAGTCCCAGCAGCCCCCATGGACCCCTCCTTCCACTGCCAGCCACATGGTCTTAAGGCCGAGGCAGGTGAACCTTGAACCGTGCCCTGAATACTAACAGCTGCCCCTGTCGGGGCACCTTGTTCCCGTGAGTACCAGAGCCCCAGGCTGTTCCCTGCTTCCTCCGAATGTGGACGGACCAATCAGGTGAAGAGGTGGTACAGTGGGAACTGGCTCTGAAGGCCTGAAAAGGCACAAACAGTCTTTGCCCTACATGACAGGTGGGAAGTGGGGAGGCCCAGATGGTTTGTGGAGACCTTGGTCCCTAAAATAATGCAGCCCTTCTCTTCTCAAGAGAAGGTGTATCGTCACCTGATTGAAATGACATAAATCAGCAGTGTGAGTCTGTGGTAGGCTGAATAAGGACCCCAAAATATGTCCACATCCTAGTCCCCGAACCTGTGAATGTTGCCTTACAGGGCAAAAGGGACTGTGCAAGTGTGATTAACAATCTTCAGATGGCGAGATCACCCGATTATCCGGGTGGGCTGGGTGCAATTACGATGGTGCTTACAAGAGGAATGAGGGAGGAGTCAGAGTCACAGGGAGTAGGAGACATGAGGATGAAACACAAAGAGTGATTCTGGGACAGAACCATGGGCCTGGTAACGCAGGCAGCCCCCAGAAGCTAGAAGAGTCAAGGCAAAGGAGTCTTCCACAAGGGACCAACTCCGACAGCATCTTGACCTTAACCCAGTGAAACTGATTTCTGGCCTCCAGAATGCAAAGAGAATAAACTTGTGTTATTTTAAGCCACTAAGTTTGTGTTCATTTGTCAGAGCAACAACAGGAAACTAATACAAACTCCAGTTTGGATCTGTGCACAACTGTCAGCAGCTCTGCCTGTTGGGATGACTATGGAATCATGCATCTCTCACCTGATACGGAATTTTTCATTTGATCCACAGGCATTTATAGAGCATCTACTGTGTGCTAAGCAGAGTTCTAGGCAATAGGAAAACAGCAATAAATAGATATGTCCACTCTCACAGGCCTTACATGCTATGGGGGGAAGCAGGCAATATACGATTGCATAACCCAATAATAAGATGTCAAATATTGACCTCCAGGAAGGAAGAGGTGGTGACATTTGAGCTGAGATTTGAACAATGAAAAGGACACCGCTGCGTGAAGACTGGGGGTGGTGGTGGGGGGAGCGTATTCTGAAGGGAACACAAACAGGGATAGGAAATTTGGCTGATTCAAAGAATAGATGGGAAATGTGGATAGAGCCCAGAAAGTGAAGGACAGCGGGAGGAAGAGAAGAGATCCATGGGGCCAGATTTTCAAGACCTTGAAGGCACAACAAGCAGACTGGATTTTACTTTAAAGGCAATAAAGATGTTGTTTCAGGGTTAAACGAGGTGGTGGTTCAAGTGCTCATGGCTACAGCTTTTTAAAAGATGGCCCCAGCAGCTGTATGGAATATGGAGGTTTTGGCGGAGCCGGGGGCAGGAACAGAGTGGCAGCAAAGAGACCAATCAGGAGACTTCTGAAGCTGAGAAGTGGAGATGAAGTGGGTGGAGTCACATGGACTGATAAGTCACTTTTATGGTAGTAAAAGGAGAGAAGGCATTTGAGGATGGTTCTGGCATTATTGGTTGAGTGAGTGGGTCACTTACTGAGATGTGAGAGTGTGGGGACAGGTTTGGGGTTGGATCACTTTCTTACTATGCCAAAATGCAGTGTAAGCAAATAAATCCACCTCATTTGCAAGGTTTAGCCAAACTCTGGGGACTCTAACCTGGTAGGAGGGGATATGCATCATGGTTAAGTGCGCAGTCTCTGGAGTGAGACTGCCTGGGATTTTTATCTCAACCGCTTTCTAGCTGTGTGATTCTGACTGGTTGCTTAACCTCTCTGTGCCTCGGTTTTCTCATCTATAAAATGGGGTTAATCAAACCTAACTTCCAGTGATGTGAGAACTAGATGAATGCCCCGCATGCTGTAAACACTCATTCTGTGTTGCTACTATGGCTTCCCTTCCCGCTGTCTGAATTCCAGGCCAAACAGCGCTTCTAAGGCAGCACCAACCAGGAAAAGGAGGTAATGAGTACAAAGCCAAAGACATTCAGGGGCTTTATTATCCAACCCCCACCTGCTCCAAAACAGTCATATATACTTTTATTGGAATAGATCCACTCAGAAAATGATGCCAGGACCTGAAAATAGGCATCTTTCCTCCCGGTCTTGGAGAAGCTAAAGTTCTTCCTTGACTTTTGGTTTCCTCTCTTGTTTCGGAGGTGCCTTTGGCTTAGCCACCACCACCACCACCTCCTCTGCTGTTTCCTTCTTCGCAGCCGGCCCCTCCAGCTCGGTCACGTTCTCCAGCTCAGACAACTGCTGTTCCGGTAACTCTTTCTCCACAATAGGTATCTTCTTTTCCTCAGCTAATATCTCCTCTTCCATCACTTCATTTTGCTCAACAGACAACAGCTATTAAGGAAAAGATGGACAGGAGGGAGGGAAGGAAGAAAGGGATAAAGAAATAAAGAGACAAGAAATATGTGATAATTGTGATTGTTATTGACCAGGCTTCTTTTTCTGGAAGTGCCCAGAGAGAATCAGTCTTTGGCTTGCAGGGTCCTCAGAGATGCTACAGGTCTGTTTGGCTTGGGTGGTAAAGTGCCCAGTGTGGCTTTGCCCTTCTGGTAAGAGGATTTTGGGGGAAACCACTCTTCCCCTAAACACTAAGTCCACAGGTGTGGCGGCCCCACCCCTAGCTCCAGGACTGGGCAGATGACCGAGGCTTAGCGAATATGATCCCTGTCCAGGAAATTTTCTGGGACTTCTAAGAAGTAGGTGCTTTCTTTCTAAGTTGGGAGGATGTTATTTTGGAATTCTGGGGTAATCTTTGACCCTCTATGGAGGAGCAACTGCTTGAGAATGAAACCCACATGGAGGAAGACAGACATGGGAAGACAGAAAGTGAGGTTGACCCTCTGGATTCACCCATGCCTGACATTCTACCAGGTATGTGGGATAAATTCCCATGTTGTTTAAGCCAAAGAGTGGTGTCTCTGACATTTGCAACTGAGAGTCCCACCTAATATAGATGGAGACTTCCAGAACATAGCTAGAAGGCAGAATCCCATCAAGACATGGGGCTACCATCTCGGGAGAGTGGGCCAAGGCAAGCAGCCTTAGTAGCTGTGTGTTAAAGCCTTTCCGGATGTTTCTAAGTCTGCCGTTTCTGCTTGCTCCTGGTAAGTGCCCTTGAAATAAAGGTGACTAGAAAAGTCTCCCAAACTGGATGGTTGTCCATCCATCCTCAACCATCTCTAGAAAGCACAACATTATGGAACCCTTGGCACACACTCTTGTAGTCAATTGAGTTCCTGGTAACTCTGTGTGGGACAGAATAATCCAGGGTGTTGTTGTTACCCCTTACCTCATCCTCAACCCTGGTCTTGACTTGGCTCTCCAGAAAGTCAGAGAAGCCCTCCAAGGTATGTTCTCCCTTATACACGACAGCCTAGGAAGAAAGCAGAACAGGGTCAGGGTGGGAGCCTCTGCCAGCAAGATGCTCATGGGTTGCTGTATAGGTAAACCCAGGTCACATTGCCAACAACCTGGGTACACTGAGCAGGTGCCTAAACCTCTCTGAGCCGCCATTACCATGGCTCTAAGATAAGGACAACAAAAATTCCTCCACTATAGAGCTGTGATGTAGTGGATCAGAGCGTGGACTATAAAACTACATAACCAGGGCTTAAACATTGGCTGCATTACTTAGCGATGTGGTCTGGTTGCTTAACTTTGATAACTCAGTTTCCTTGGCTACAATATGGAGATAGCCATAATACCTACCTCATAGTGTTGTTATAGGAATTCAATGAGTTAATATAGGTAAAGCGCTTAAAAGAGTGCCTGGCTCCGTAGTGTGTACTACACACGTTTGCTGTTATTATCATTATTCTAAGAGGAAGAATAGTTATTATTTTGCAAAGCATCTGGCACATGGTCAGTGCTCAGTCATCACTAGTTCCCTTTCCTCTTGAAGCTGCTTACCACCCACTGGTTCTCTAAACTCCTGCTCAGGTAACTTTAGATCGTGACACTTAGCTCATCCTCTCAATCCAGCCTCGGTTTCCATGACTCGCCCCCCCCCGCCCCCGTGCATCTTCTGCGCCAGGAGGATGCAGTGCTGTGGTCATCCTTCTGCCCGCCTCGTCCCACCTGTAGTGCACAGCCCCTCTGCTAACCTGATTTAAATGCCCACCATTCTCCAGTGTCCCGTGTCTGCCTGGAGACTTCCAGTCATGCCTGCCTTCCAGAATCTTCCCCTCTTGATTCCAGTTGAATTAGAGATGGACCCACACTGTGGTGACTTCTCCCCCACACTCAGCCATACTCTTCTGAGGAGCAGGGACCTAGCCTCACACTTCTTTGATTGACACCCTTCCCCACACGCCAAAGTGGCCTGAAGAGTGTGTTCCATCATCACTGGTGGTGGTTGGCGACTATCACCCCAAGGTGTAAAAGACATTGTCTCTAGCATGCATCTTCCTTCATCTGGTGGCACCCCTCCCCCAACAGTCACATGGGAGATCCCCCTCGCCCCCGTATTCCATTCAGTCTGGGTAGAGCTCAGCCCCAATTCTAGAGGGAACCATGTAACCCAGGCCCGACCACCAAAACACCCACATCCACTTGGCCACAGTGACTGTGTCCGGGATGAGCAAACAGCCCCAGTTATAGTGAGTCTCAGAGCTTTCGTGGAAGCTACGGGAAAATACTCTTTGGCCTTGGACGTGAGAGGATGAGAGGTGCTGAAGCTGAGAATGAAGCTGGCTTGGTAGAAAGCGCAGCTGGAAGAAACCAAGTCCTGGATGATAATATAACAACATTCTCAGGCACGTGAGTCCCGAGAGCCCCTCACTTGCTGAGAGTCGGTGGGGAAAAGCCTGAAGAACGGGTACCGGTCCAGGGACGTCAGCTGAATGTCGTTTGCTGTGATGTCGATCTTGGCGATGGTGACCGTGGAGTGGTTTTGATACTTTCTGCCCAGCTCCTCCAGCAGTGGGAAGAGCGCCCTGCACTTTTCAGACCAGGGCGCGTCTGGAAGAGAAGGGCCATTGCTCAGGCCACGCGGAGAAAGACTCAGAAAGCCGCCCTGCCCCCGGCACACCTGCTTGTGTTGCTTTGCAAACTGCCCTCCCTCCTTCTTTTAATGCCATACTATTATTTTTACATATCAGCCATAACAATACCAGATTGTCATTAAATAAATTAGAAAAAAATTAGCCTAAACCCCTTCCATCCAAATACTAACGCTTTTAGTGTGTTAATGTTTTCTTCTATTCTTTGTTTTTTCTAAAAAAAAATTCATTGTTTTAACATAGTGTTCCATTCCATTAGAAGAAGAAAGCCAAGAACAATATTTATGCCAGATGATTCCTTCTGTTCTGCCAAAAAAGCACATGTGCATGTGTGTATGTGTATCTGTGTGTGTGCGCGTGCGTGTGAGTGTATGTACGTGTGTGTGTGTGTGTGTGTGTGTGTGTGTGTTAGTTATAGCACAGGGGTTTTCCAACAGAGGTTAAGCTACTTGTTCAAGGTCACCCAGTAATTAAGCAGAGGAAGTGGGATTTGAAGACAACATGCTGTGACTTGTGACCATTCTAGCACAAGCATAGTAATAATATAATATAATATAACATAATATGAATATGAATATAAGATGCCTTTTAGTCCAGTGGAGGAGAACATGCCCAAGAAGTGAACAGATCTGCCCAAGAAGTGTGACAAGTACATCTGTCCCTGGAAAAAGGACCCCGAACTTTCTTGTGGGCAGGTCTTTGATCCTTGAGTTCAGCCCGGGCACCCGGAGCTCGGGAGAGACCAGCTTCGACAGGAGGAAAAACAAACCTTACCTGCTTGTCCTTCCACTGAAGCTCAGAGCTCAAAGTTTCTGGCTCTGTGGGAGGAATGGCCTCAAGGACCCCAGACACTCCATGCCGGGATGATCACCCCCCATTTACAGACCAAGTGCCTGCGTGACCTTCCCCCCTGCCGGCAGCAGCCCTGGCTGTCCCTCTGGAGCCCAGCGGGTCCTGCGTCCAAACAGGAGGGGCCGTAATGGCCACAGCCCAGGGGGCCAATCCTCCAGCCCTGCTTCCAAGAAAATGAGGCTGCTTTTGCCTTTTACCAGAGCCAGATGGGCATTCTCATAACTTCTAGTGTCACGTAAGTACAGAAAGGCTGCACCTAGCCTGTCATTTAAGGCAGCAGACTGTGGTAATTCAGCCACACAGACCTTAAAGGCCTCGCTCCAAGGGTAAGAGGCCCTGTCAGTGAGATTTTAAAAGGTCTGTGTGATGCAGTCCAGCCCTTGCTTTACCTTCAAGGAAGCGATGGCATCAGAGCTTGCTTTAAACTTTTTTGCCTTGCTGTGTGACCTGGGTAAGGTAATTAACCTCTCTGAGGTGGGGTTCCCTGATCTGTGTCAGGAGTAAAGCTGCCATACCTTCCTCACAGACTCGTTGTGACACACCTCATTAGAGCAGGCCTGTCAACAGCAAACTCATGCCGGGCTCATTGTAAGTGCTCGTTAAATGTTAAAATAAAAGAGGTGTCTTACTTCCTCTGTGTCTCAGGGTGGGAGAGAACGCCTCTGGCTTTGCCTCACACATGCAAATCGCAAACCCTCCGGGAAAGGGCAGTAGTCGTTAGGGGAGCAGTAGAAATAATTATAACAATAGAAAAAATAAAAGCAATAACAGTTGTCATTTATCAAGTGCTTACAATGTGCCAGGCACTGTGCTAAGTCCTTTACATGAAGGATTGGGGTCCCCACCTCATAGGGGCCATTTGATAAGTCACATAAAGCCAGAAGCTAAGGAATTCCGTAACCATAGTTATGAGGATAGGGGCCGGGGCCGAACTGCCCAAGTTCAAATCCTAGTTCCAGCACTCACAGGCTGCATGATACTGAAGAAGTTTCTTCGCCTCCCTGACTCTGTTTAGTCATCTGTAAAGTGGGAGCAATCATAGTTGCTACTCCGAAAAAGATGTTGTGAGGATTAAATGAGATAATACACGCAGTGGCTCAGTGGGACCTAACTTGCACTGCAGCACACAGTCAAACAGCGTTAGTCATCAGCGCTATGTTGTAAATAGCCACAGGCCTGGATTATGTGAAAGGCATTTCATACAACATTCCAAAAATTAGATTTTCGAGGACAGAGCTGCATTATTGTAGCTGATAGCATCTTGATCCAATCTTTTGGGCATCTGAACACTACCCCTGGTGTGGTGCATCAGTGGGTTTTGGAGATTTCAGTGCCCAAGAATTCAGGGGCAACACTTGAAAAGTAATGTGGGGACCCACTGCGTCCCATCCCCCTGTGGAGGTACTTACAGAACATCACAAACACGTCCCTTTCCTTGTCAAAGACGACGATGTTGAAGTTCTTCCCCACGAGCTGCTTAACCAGTCCCTGGTCCCAGTATTTTGGAAGGTCTTCACTGGATTGATGTTTCTAGGAAGCGAATTCAAGAGAGCTAACAGTCTGCAGAAAGAGGTTCAGAACTGGGGCTTCCCACCCTGATTGAAAACAACTAAAGGTTTTTCTCTTATTTTTTCACAAGCGCCTTGGGAAAGACTTTGAAATGCTGAGATAGATGGTGTGAGCCTGGATTGACCAGGGAAAATGGGTTCCAGAGGGCTGGAGAGGAGACAGAGCTCCGACCTTACTTTCTTTCTTTCTTTCCCCAACCCCAGGCTCTGGAAAGGACTTAAAGATTCTTTCAGTGGGAGTGTAAAGGGGGTGGGGGCTGGGCGTGGGAGATGGGAAATGGTGAAAATGATGGAGAACTAGGAATGGGTCATATCAGGGAGACCGCATAGGTCCTGTGAAGGATGCTCATTTCCATTCCAAGGAAAACAAGGAGGCCCCAGTATAAAGACTTCTATTCTCTTGGGGATACACCAGTGGAGTACTCCGCTGAGAGCGACAGTAGGAATGGCTACTGGAGGAGAAATAGGCTCTGAGATTAAGAAAATGAGCACACTAAGAGAGATTTATGCAGAGATGCCAGGATGTTTCTGAGCGTCCATAGAGGTTTGGTTTGTGACATCGCGAAGCCCGCCAGCCTCATGATGTTGCTTCTCTCCAGCATTAGCCTGGAAGCGGTGGGGACATTAAGTGGGCTCAACCAGAGTTGGAAGTTTGCCTGGTGAGTACACAGAGTGTACAGGAGGTGAGGGGTAGAGGGTAGAAAGGAGTCGAGGGGACCATCATGAGAGCGAAGAACTGTGGAATGCAGGGTCATGGACAGGAGCACTCAAGAGATTGTGCAATGGGACCGGGACATGGGAGGCAGCGAGAAGGTTGAGGAACTGTAGCCATGTGGGTACTGGAGAAGGGAAACCCGGCATTCAGAGGGGCCACCCTCCCTAGGGTGCGGCCATGAGAGCAAGTGGCTGAGATGGCAGGAACACGCCCACTATTGGAGAAGAGAGAACAGGGTTGTAGATATTGACATCTCTGGGAATGACGGCAGAGCAGGGTAGGAGGCAAGTTTGCCATCAGGAGCTTAAGTCCCCAGAGGGAAGGGAGGTGGACAGGGATAGCAACCAGGGGGTGGGAGCATGCAGTCTAACATCCATGAGCACAGGATGCAAGGAACCGGGGGTTTTGAAGGGGGAAGGAGGAGAAACGGCTGGGAAGTGGCAAGGAGGACAGCAGCCTCCTGCCTGGCCCATGATAGTGTGCGTATGAGATGAACAGCTTCCACCTGAGCAGGCTTCAGGGGCAGCCATGTCTCGGGGGGAACAGACGGAAGGTAGTAGAAGCACTCAGAGGTCAGGGGACCACAGATTTTGGTTTGCCTGGAGAGTCTCAATTTACTCTTGTTGTTCCAGGATATTTTTAAAGAATGCCCCTTTACTCTCAAAAGTGTCCCAGTTTGCAAAAACATTAATAATTAATATGGTGGCCTTACTCAGCAGGATAGTTGAGGATACAGCAAGTGCTAAATAAACAGTGCGTGATGCTGCATTACACAACTACCTTCCTGCAGCTTCTCCTCCCTGTTGGCAAAACAGGCCCCCTTCTTACCCCTTCCAGCCAAGAGGTCCCTAAAGCCTTTGAGGCTGAACCCTGATTGACCTATGTGTTCCATCCCTTCCTGGCCCCCGAAGCAAGCATCTACCCTTGGGCCAAGTAAATCTTTAACATCGAAGCTGATAGGAGGACAAAAACCTCCTTTTCAAGGATAAGGTGTCTACATTTCTATTGGAAATCCCTGCAAAGGAAATGCCTCCATGTCACAACTAAAAAATTACTGGTGGAATTATAGGCTCAGGATAGGTCAAAAGTTGGATAGATTCGAGGTGGGGAGAAGGGGGGACTTCCCCGCATTGAGCCGAGAGGTTGATCTCTATTCTGCCTCACCATTCAGGTACCCAAAGCCAGCAGAGATACAAGCAAGGGATGATTTTGAGGTTCTGGATAAGCCTTGTCCAAGAACAAACTTACCTTGGCATTTCTACTCAGGAAGTTGAGGCCAAATTTCCTGAGGTTTGTGAAGGTTATCTCATCTGAAGGCATTTTGTACCTGGCATCGGAGCTCAGGTTTAGGAGTTGGACAGATGGGATATTGACCTCTGTGATCAGGAAGTACTCAAAGACACGTCTGTTTCTGGGTTCGTCTGCATTCACAAGGATGAAAAGTATCTGCCAAATTAAATGAAACGCTTGTCTCGCTGGGTTCTTCACCAAAGGAGGGAAACTGCTGGAAAGCTGCAGACTAAAGGAATGCAAATAGTGGGGTCTATGGCGCACCTGTGAAAGACTTCCTAACCGCCCCCTTTCTCCGGGCAGGTGCAGCCCTGCACCCAAATGCACCACGGGCAGCAGCCACCAACCTGGTTTCAGCACCCTTGTGCCACGCACCATCCACACAACTTTAGGAAGTCAGGAAGTCCTGAGCTTCCATCCTGCTTCTACGCCCTAGTTTCCTTATCTGTAAAATGGTGATTATAATAGTAGCTACCGCAGAGGTTTGCTGTGAGAATTGAGTAGGACAATGTATGCAAAGGCTTGGTTCAGTGACTCACAGGTAGACAATGTTCAGTACACGCTGACTCATTATTATTCAAGATTATTCTATCAAGGAAATCCACGATTGCATTCACTCAGTCATTCAACAAATATTCATGGAGTGCTTATTATGCGCGAGGCATTTTACCAAGCCCTGGAGATACCCAGCACTGCCCAAAGCAGACAAAATCCCTGCACTCAAGAAGCTTAAGTTCTAGTGGAGACGACAGACAACAAATGAGTAAATGAACTTTTAAATTCAACAGCAATGAGTGCCAATTAAACAATAACACAGGGCCTTGTGATAGAGAGGAACTGCCCAGGTAGGGAGATTACGTAAGGAGGTCAGGAGGAGAATGGAGGAGGTGATATTTCAGCTGGGACCTGGGTGACAGTAGCAAGTCAGGGAACAGTGATGCGGGCGGTGGACACTGCCAGCGCAAAGGGCTGGGGGCCAAACAAAGAGCTGAGAGTGTTCCAGGCACAGAAAAGAAAAGCCCGTGGGGGAGAGACTGACAAAGATGAGGTCGGAGGTCCAATAAGGAGCTTGGGCTTAGTCTGAACACGATGGGTGGCCACTAAGGACAGTCAGCTAGAGAGCGACATGATAATCAGTTTTAAAAGATGGCTCTGGTTGCAGAATGGACGCGGGAGATGAGTGAGAGGCCACAGCAGCCACCTGCGGTCAGGTACTTTCAGGTCATTCATCCACCAGGAGATCAAGGGCCCCACGATGTGCAAATCTTCCCAGGTGCTAGGGAGATTGAAAAGCAAAGCAGACATATCAAAACCATTCTTGCATATGTTCAGCAAATATTGGCTGCCTTCTGTTTTCTTGGCACTGGGGCATACGAGTGAACAAGATAGGTATGGGTGTACAAT